AGGGGGGGGGGGGAGTCCGTATATAATAGTATAAAGTAATAATGCCTCCCATACTGCAGATTTCAGATTTTCGATCAACGGTATATTACTTTCTGTGGAGGAGTACATATAATTTAATTAGGTACATACACTTGAAATCACAATGCATGACCACAAAAATTAGCTTATTTTTCTCCATGAATCAACGTTCCCGCAAAAATTTTCATCCACGTTTTATAATCACACAGTTTGAAATTTGCAACTCAAAAATCTGCAACGTTGCAGATTTTAACATTGCCGGCTGTGTGGCCGGCCATGAGAGGCCACGGAGTACATTAATCACTATTAAAAAACCGGTGGCGAAAACTTTTACGGAAAAAACCTACTTGAGTTGTTGTGATAGTGTCTGCATCACTGTTTGGGCGGTTTGAGAGGTGGCTGCTGCTGGTTGAGCAACTTACATTCATTGCTTTCTGTTGAGGTTGGCAGTCAAACGAACTCTTTGGTGAAATCTATATTAAAATATTTTCGATTAGTTTGTATTTTAATATTGTAAATCGATGGGCAAAAGCTATGATTGAAAGAGGTAAAAGGTCCCATAAGGAGAGAAAAGGAAGTAACATGCACGAGGTAAACAACCACAACTCAAAGGGGTCAATTAATTCTGCTACACTTGGTGCAGTGATAAAATATACCCAAAAATTCCAGATTTTGAACATGCATTTTGATAAGTTTCAGCTTTTTATTGAAAAAAATAAATTTAGAATTTGAAGATAGTGCTCATGGATATAGTTGAGCAAAACAATCACATTTACATTCTGTGTTTCAAAATCTTATCTCTAATCTCAATTTTTTAGAAGAAAACCAAGCGATATTTTCATTTAAAATTTTGTTGAAATATCCTTCATGTGGGCAAAAGATACATTCGCAACAATTTTCGACTGGGGACGTTGGTGAGTAGCCCTCCAAAAAGTGTACCTAGAAGAAAAATAATTAATAAAACGCCGAGGAAGTGAGAGAAGTGGGAGCGCCTTCAATTTTTGAATGGGCAACACGCACATTTGTGGAACACGAATAGTTGCATCACGGCGCCGCAATCAACTCAATCTAGCTTTTCTAGGGAGCACTCGTCGGGTACAGTGTAGATTGCTTTTAAAATTAACGGCTGACCCACTTGGTGTAATTTTTAAACTTATGGCCCGACAGTCCGTGGACTGGTTGCCCATTTCAAGCGGTATGGGCGTCGGGGGTGGCCAGTTCGCTTACGGAGTAAAAATGTACGGAGAAAATGTACCTAGAACTGGGATTGTAGGGACAAAATAATCTTTCTAATAGAGAGTCAGACCATTCTAAAAATTTTAAAATATTTTAAATTTTATTTCTGTCAAGAAAAAAATTGTTAACCGAATTGAAAAATGTTGCATCCACCAAAAAGAGGGCAAGACTTTCATGTGCAGAAGAGGCATTATCAGCTAAAGTCTCAATTAAAGTACTGCGGCTAGCGACTTACAGAGAAAAATTATTCTTCTATCGAAGTAAAAAAACGAAATCTCAATAAAATTTATAGTATCTGTTTCGGAAAGATTATGGCGTTTATTTCGTAATTGAGAGTTAGTCAAATGGCAACGATCGCTCCACAGGTTGTTTCACCTTTTATTTTTAGGTTAGGTTCCTTTAGAAGCAGCCAAAAATAACCGAAGATTGGCGGCTCTCGGAGAACCCACCTGCTGTGGCATTGTCGAGAATTCCTCTCGCCTCACGATTAACGCACATGGCCCACTAAACGAAATCTATTGTTGACATGACGTCATAGAACGAGATCAACAGACAAATCAAGCAATATACCTGACTTATCAACTCCTTTGAACTTGCAAGAGTTTTCATCCAAGGTGACTCGGACATAAGTAACAAAGTATCTGAAAATTCGAGGAGGATGTATCGAGAAATTATCTCAAAAAGAGACTTCTTATCGAGGAAAAATTGGCTACGTCCGAATTCTCTTACAGCGTTCTTCCTTAGAATAGCAGAGCAGCACTTGCCGAATTGTCAAACTATACTTAAGCCAGTGTGATCAAATATACCAATACCAGACTAAGAGCTGAAGTCACTCCAGAGTAAAAAAAAAACATACATTTATACTTACTTACCTACCTCCAAGGAGACTTCTACGATTCAGCAGTAATGGAAGAGTCTGCTTAAATTGAAATTTTTAATTTGGCAATAAGCTACGATTTAAATAAATTTTTCTCAAGTGGAAAATGTTCCTCTTCCCTTAATTTATCAAGGTTAGAATGTTTTGTGTACTGAATGAAAATACTAAACTCGTGTCAATGTTAATCTTTTTTTTTTTTTTTTTTTTATTTGCCTCAAATACCCCCTGGAAGGCAGCCCGCCTCAACAGTTTAACTCCCTGTCCCCCTCAGATTCCAATCAAAACTCAGCCTCCGGCAACTGTTGCTCAAGACCATCAAACTCGTGTCGACCGGCTGCGAATCGAACCCAAGACCTCTGGATCCTTGAGCCAGCGCTACAAGCAGTACGCCACAGGAGATCAACGAAGAAAAGAGTTTAGGGAGAGCTATACTGCCGTGCTAAGGAGGAACGCCGTATGAGCCTTCAGGCGTTGCCAAGTTTCCTCCGATAAAAACCGAAATTACTGGGAAAATTGAGAATATTAACTGCCAAAATTTTCAAAGAACTTTATACGCAATTTGATCTAAAATGCTTGAAAATTTCAAGGAGAAATATGCATAAATTTCCCCAGAATTTCATGTTCTACCAGAGAAAATTTGGCAACTTTCGAATGTTCATACGATGTTCCTCCTCGGAAAGGAGGTATAAAGAACGCCTTTTTTCTTTCATGGTATTTTTAAACCGAAAAATATACTGGTTTCATTCAGTTACAATCTGAGGTGATTGACCCGATATAGGCGGCGAAGAAAAATCTCTGACGTGCAGCTGTGAACGCTTAAACCGTCAAAAGTTGAGAGGTAAAAGAAAGGGGGCAATGGAGACCAGTAAACTTTGAACATTTCCCGGGTTTTGTTTCAAAGAATTAGAAGCGGCGGGGAGATTAATCTAAGATTTACTGAATTTTCTTGCTATTTCACTGTATATGGATCTCCTTTAATGAATTAGCATCGGTGTACGATAATGAGAGGCATGGGGAAATGAAGGCGCTACTTTAGTCACAGTATTTATAATGTCCTTGCATTCCTTCCCGATCAACCTGAGCTTTCAATGACTGTCATAATGGGATTCTTCCTCTTTTTTAATTTTGAAACTTATTAAATTTATATCTTGTTAAATAAGGTATCAAACAAAGTGCCATCAATTACAAATTTAAGTACATGAATGAACCATTAATTTTCTTCTTATAGAGAGTGAAATTTGTTTTAAAAAGTTCTCACGAGAAGGATAAATGCAGGTATCAATTTCAATTTTAGGTTATCTAAAAAATGATTAACTTTAATAATTAACGTATCCTCTTTTTGTCCGTCGTAATATCCACGGAACTATATCAATTATAAGGGGCGAATTTTCTTTCATTAATTTTGCATAAAGTTTTATTTTTATCGTTTGCATAATTAAAAGGTATGTTTTTCTACTTTTGTTTATTTTTTAGTGTGTGACCTATAGAGTCTAACAAAATTTTGAAGTCTATTTTTTTAAACTTTTTTAACGCGAATTTCACTTACTTTTACTTATGCAGTAACAGGTTAACCTAATCTAATTGAATTTGTACATTTTTTTACGTTTTTTTAAAAATCAAAATGTATGGGTCAATGCTACTAGGGAGGTTTTTTCTTACAACTTGCAACGTTTATAGACGTCTTTTGCACGACTGGATCCAATTAAGACTCAGCCCAAGCGATGGAACTTTGATCGAGGCTCCATAAGAGGAACATTCTCCGGGTCAAAATAAACAACACAAACTACGACTCACAAACACGATAAGCACACGACACCAATTAGAAATGACGAGAGGTTTGCTGGAATTTTCGGGCTCCGGGGTCATTGACCCCTCTCCTGGATGGAGATCTCGCCTCCGATCCCTTTGTTTTTTACGTTACCTGCGTTAAGTTGGACGTCCAACCGTATTTTTCCTCACTGATGCCGTCCGTATGCGAGTCACCTGCGTCCTGTGTAAGATAAAGTTTTATTTTAATTCCTCACAAACAAATAGAAACAATAACAATCCGTGCATCCCACAGTGGCAGATCCAGAGGTCAAAAAAGGGGGAAAATGGGGAAAGGGGGGAGGGGAAGGGAGAGTTTTGTGCTCTTAACAATTTACTAAAAGGGTTTCATAACAGAACAATATAACCAAAGTTTGCCAAACTAAAGATTACTACAAACACCCCAGGAATTAATACCTAGTCCATGTACTAAAATAAAATTACACTGAAAAAGGTATTATTCGTCGATTTTTAACTTTCAAATAATGCACAAATTGAATGCTGAAATGCTTAAAAGTCAATTTGAGAGGGGCTAATTTTTAAATTTTTAGAGGAGACCCCTAGACCCCCTTCCTCTGGATGGTGTCCCCACGAACCCCCCACAT